TTTTGGCAAACTGTAGTCTTGCTTTTTTATGTCTCTGTGTCAGCAGTGGGGTCCTCCTGGGTCTCCTGCCATAGCGTTTCATTTCATTTAAATGTCGACGGATAGTTCGCGCTGACACTGATGCTCCCTGAGCCTGCAGGACAGCTTGAATGTCTTTGGAACATGTTTGGGGCTGCTTATCCACCATCCGGACTATTCTGCGTTGCAATCTTTCATCAATTTTCCTCATCCGTCCACGACCAGGGAGATTAGCTACAGTGCCATGGGTTGCAAACTTCTTGATAATGTTGCGCACTGTGGACAAAGGCAGTTCTCTGGAGATGGACTTGTAACCTTGAGATTGTTGATATTTTGCCACAATTTTGGTTCTCTCCTCAGACAGTTCTCGTCTCCTCTTTCTGTTGTCCATGCTTAGTGTGGGACAGGCAAAGGTTAAGTGTCTCACTTTTTAAGGTGTGATTTCTATATTGCCCACACCTGTTACTTGCCCCAGGTGAGTTTGCATCTATGCTTGGGAATGTTTGAGCCCATTTTTGGAGGTTTGTGTGACATTTGCTTTCTTTTCCCTTTTTTTGTTTTGTTCCAGATAGAGCATTTGTGATTTCCTGGGTCAGGCAACTGATGTTTGGGATACTTGAGAAAGGCATCCCCTGGCTTGCAGTCTCCACTCTAATTCATCCCAATGGTGTTCTATCGGGTTGAGGTCAGGATCCCAATGGTGTTTTCGGGTTGAGGCAGGACTTTGTGCAGTCAATTTTCTTCACCCCAAGCTTGCTCATCCATGTCTTTATGAACCTTGCTTTGTGCACTGGTGCGCAGTCATGTTGGAACAGGAAGGGGACATTTCCAAACCCCTAAAGAGCCGCTTGGTAACTTTGGGTTCTTTGTTCTCCACCATATATATTAGCAGCCACTCAGGGGAATGTACAAGTTAAAATGAGAATGCTGCACATAGTATTTGCTTTCTTTCCTCCCTTTTTTTGTTTTGTCCCAATACACACAAAGGGAATAAACATGTGTATAGCAAAACATGTGTTAATGCAATACGTTTCGTGAGAAATACATGATTTCCTGGAGAAATATCAAGGGTGCCAACAATTTCGGCCATGACTGTATATATATATACACACACTATATTGCCAAAAGTATTGGGATACTTGCCTTTACACACACATGAACTTTAATGGCATCCCAGTCTTAGTCCGTAGGGTTCAATAAATCAATAGAATCCAAAGTCAGGACTGTGCTGTGCAAATCAAACCTAGCAGCCCCCTGGGGAATACACAGATCGCGTCTGGATTTTGTAATACATGTTGTCACGAGTGTGGGCTCAGCCCTACATATTTTATTAAAAATTATATTTTCCAGGAATCCAATTCACGGTGGAGTTCCTTTGTTTACATGGACATTCTACTATAGACACATAGGGGTTTATTTACTAAAGCTGGTTCACTCAAAATCTGGTGCACTTCTGCATGGAAACCAATCAGCTTCCAGGTTTTATTGCTAATACTTAATTGAACAAGCTGACATTAGAAGCTGATTGGTTACCATGCACAGCTGCACCAAATTCTTAGTGAACCAGCTTTAGTAAATCTCACCCATACTGTACAGTATACTGGACTGATATGCATTTTTTGTTTTATGAGTGTTGCATTTGGTTTATTTGATATTACCATTCTGTATGCCGGTTTAGGGATTTAAACATTTAGTGATTTTCTTAATTTTAAAAGAGAATTTATAGAGCTTCGGTCTAAATGAAATGGTTTTGCAAAGGGATTTATGGGAAAGCTTTAATTATAACATGTTATCAACTTTGTATTAGCTTCTGAAGATGCAATGCTAATGTAAGGGTCAGATTTTGGGGTCTAAAGTTGAACGTACCCTATGGACTGAATAAAAAAAAAAAATAACAAATTACTCCTTCCATGCTATACAGCATGGATGAATGAATCTCCTGCTACAACTATTTCAGATGCAGCCACCTTTAGCAGCTGCCAGAATTCCCAGACAGCAGCTGTTCAGCCGAAAAAGTCCAGGTCTTTTTATTAGAAAATGTTTGGAAAGAGGGGGCTGACAGAGCCACTGTCATAATGAATTTCAGCCTTATCTCTGTTCTCTTTTTTTTTTTCCCATCCCCTACATCTCTTTCGACATTCTGCTAAAACATTGTGATCAGTACTGCTTTGACCTGAAGAAGAGGACATTCCCCGAAAGCTTGTCCTCAAAATTGTATGTTAGTGCAAATAAAAAAAGTATCACGGACAGTACTCAATTGTTTCAGCCTTCTCACCAGGAACTGGCCAACATTTGCATAGTGTATGGATGGCTTAACTTACAAAAGTGAAAAATTAGACCTCAGGCTAGACAGACTCATTAAATTGTTGTGCTCATATAGCTTTAAGATCACTGGAAATCACTGAGAGGTAAACTGGATTGTTATTGCCACCACCACCACGTTGTTCTAAGAGCTTTGGAGGAGTAGGTCATTTTTTAAAGTTGGGTTGCTGTCTTTTTAGTCTTGTCTTTGGGTTATGCTGCAAAGTGAGGCTGGTTTTCTAAAGTAGTTCAGAATATTCACACATGTGAATATACATTCTGTTAATCAATCATTTGAAAAGCAAGTCTTATATTACTGGTGGGTAGTGAGTCAATTCTTCCATTCTTCAAGAAAATACACCATTGCCATTCAACACTTTTTGGGTGTGTTGGATAGTTTGACCCTCCTCTGCGCTGTTGTGGTTCCTCCATGCAGTCACTACGTTGCTACATAAACACGTGTCTGTATTTCGTGAAAATGATTGAAGACTTGACTTGCCGCCCACTGGGCAGGTGACCATTAAAGTGGTTCTAAAGGCTTAAGGTTTTTTATCTTCATGCATTCTATGCATAAATGTAAACAATCTTTTGTGTGCAGCATCCCCCCAGCCCCCCTAATACTTACCTAAGCCCCCTCTCGATCCAGCAATGTGCACTGGAGTCTGAGCTATCCCAGGACTCCCACTTCTCATTGGCTGAGCCAGAAGTGGGAACCATTGCCTCCTGCTGCTGTCAATCACAACCAGTGAGCCAATGAGAAGAGAGAGGGGACAGAGCCGAGCAGCATCTCCGTGTGTGAACGGACACACGGAGCAGCGGGTGCCCCCTTAGCAAGATGCTTACTGTGGGGGCACCCAACAGGAGGGAGGGGAAAGGAGAACCTGAGAAGAAGAGGGCTGCTCTGTGCAGAACCACTGCACACGGCAGGTAAGTATGACATGTTTGTTATTTTTTCTTAAGAAAAAAAAAAAAACCTTTAGAATCACTTTAAGCTTCTTCTTATGTAGGCTGCTCATGCTTTAATTATATAAAAAATCTGCAAGGTGACAGTTTAGTGAAAACAAATGGCAGTTAAATACACATACTATAAGGTCAGGCTATGAACTCTTCTTAGAGTTTAAGGTAGCAGCAGGGGCGGTCCGACCATTTGAAAACTCGGGCACTGCCTGAGGGCCCGGGGTCAGTAGGGGGCCCCATGAGATGCCCCTGGTACCTTTTTCATAGGCTTTTTTGAGTTTGGGCAAGGCCACAGGGGCCCCATGATCCTCTATTGCCCGGGGGCCCCATGAGTTGTCAGTCCGCCCCTGGGTAGCACCATCTAGAGTGAACACAGTACCATGGCCCAAAAACAACAACAGAATGTATGTAAACTCTATAAATGACTTTTTCTTATTTGCTCCTTTTTGATCTGTTAAATATACCAGTGTTTTGTTATATCTGTCAAAACATAGCCGCTGATCCTCCCAGATATCTAGTGAGCTGCTTGAATTTTACCTAGTGAGTTTTAACTTTATTTCTGCTACACTTTTATTGGATAGCATTGTTCACAATTTTTTGTGGATTCCGAAACCATCCCCTCAATGTTATGGATAATAGGAGAGGGGGTCCTATTAGGTGTTCGTAGCTAAATCAGGAGAGCAGCCTAGTGCAACACTGCTCATCCTTATGTACTTCATAGTATGTAAGCATTGACACCCTAAAACAGGCAGTGTGTTACTGGCAGGATCACCAGGTGAAAAAAAGGAAAATGAATGCACCATATCTGAAAACTGGTAAGCTGCAGTATATTAATTTTATGTTCTTGTTGTAGATGCATTTTAAAGCAGAACTCTGGGCAAACACTTCTTTACATGTCTTTGTTGCTGATTTATTACCTTCACTGAAATATGCCATTCATCTTTTGGTTCGCTCAGTAGTTGTGCTGAAATAGCCTATTCATTTTCAAATCAAACTGTTAATTCTCTTTAGTTTCCTATTTGTAAGGCCAGTGGCTCCTATGCCTCATATTACCCCAGCCTCTGGTCTTGGCACATTCCTTCTGTAGTTCTTTCTTCAGGAAACAGTGATGTAATTCCGCCCCACTTGCAATGGTGGGCAGACCGAGACTCTCAGACAAATTCAACATGTACAGGCCTAGTGTACCTGCCCACATTCACTCAAATTCTCTGTGGTTGATGGGAACTATAGTTTCCTTTTACTGCAGAGAGAGGAGAGGATATGATGCAATCCCTCTTTTACACCTTCTCCTTGGCAGAGCAGATGCTGTAATCTTTTGAATTACAGAGGTGAGGTCATGAAAATTTAATGAGACTTTTCTCCTAAATGGTAAGGATTTTCAAAATTTTAATTATTGTTTTGTGCTTTTGTTTTGTATAGGGGAGTCTACTAATGGGTGATTTTTTTTGCCTTCCAGAAGTTCTTCTTTATGTTTATATTTCCTTTAATAGATTTAGGCTTTTCTTCTAGGAGAAGGAATTATATAGACAACATGCAAGCAATGTTGATAACTGAATATAAGGATCCCATATTTTTAAACAAAGGTTATCTCTTGACATGCTGGATTTATATCAGTTGTTTTAAAAGCATCTGAAAAAAAATTGACAGGCCTGCTTAACTGGGTTTAAAGGAGAGAACAACTGTTGGCACAAAGTGAACTCATTTTTATTATCATTGACACTTACTCATTTTCACTTGTAAAGCTCCACAGCTTTCGGCAGGGTCTCCCACACCATTTTTAGCCACACAGCAATATACACCATCGTCGCCTTCCTCCACACTGAGAATGGTCAGGAGTTGTCCATTTTCTCGAATGCTGTAGCGTGTGTCAAACAACCTGTGGGCAGAATGTTAGATTTACTACCATTTATTTTTCAAGCTAGCATACTAACATCAAATATGTACTCAGTGAGGGTGATTTACCAAAGGAACAGGGAGCTTTTACTTTGTACCGTGAATGTTACTTAGCTGTTTTCCCTTTGTAAAGTTATCTAGCTAAGGCTTATACACTTTTCTTGTACAATTTTGCATTAGATGTACCAAAACCATATAATATGAGGTCAAACCAAAACAGGCCCTTGAACTACACAGTTGAAGGTAATGTTCTTATATCAAACTAGAATTCAAATCGCAATTTAAGGAGGTGCAGTGAAGCAAAAACAAATACAATCAACCAAAAATATCTATATAAATAAAATAAATCACCCAGTGTCATCAAAATGTACAAAAAAGGTGATGCCATATAAAGTCCATAAATAATGTCCATAAATAATGTCCATGTTATTCACTTATTTTTTTTGTCTTCCACCAAGCAAACCTTCACAAGTATATTGTGCACATCCACTCTTTTCTGGTAAGATACTCACCAGCTCACCATGTCTCATAGCAATAATCATCATGCAGTGCTTTTGTTAATGTGGGATCCCCCACCTTTCTTCAGAAACACAAACCTCCAGTTCCTCTTCTGCTCATATTGCTCAACAGCCATATATCAAAGAAAAAGAGGGAACTTCCATAGCGTAATACTAGATAAACGTTTTATTTAAAATGGATAAAAACCTACTCACAGTCATATAAAACAAAGTGTATTCCAAAAGATCCCAGTAAGGCAATCACAAACTCCATCAATGCCGTTACTTGTTGTGTACAGGCTGAGTAATTGACGCCTCATACAGACCTCTAACGCGCCACATCCAGTGAGTTGCTTCCAGATCTATCTCTAATGTCACTTCCAGTTGCCATGTGATTAGATTTTATCGCTGTCTGTATCCCACTAGTTCTGCTGTCCGTGGTAACAACCTCACTTTGTAGAGATTTCCTCTCAATTCCTGTTGTGCCCATGGGACAGAAAGTAAAATTATAACTCCCCCTTATCCAAAATAGAAAAATGTTTTGTCTCCAGTTCAGTCTTACATTTATTTTTGGGGGGATTTATGCATCTATACAGTGGCTATAGAACAGTAAAAACAGCACATAAGGAAATATACAGCTGTGCTAAAAAATTTGCCTATCCTGGCAGAAATTATGAAATTCCAGCATTGATATTGAATATATGACTGATCATACAAAAAAACTGTCTTTTATTTAATGACAATGATCATGTGAAGTCATTTATGACCACACGGTTGTTTGGCTCCTTTTTAAATCATAATAACAGAAATCACCCAAATTACTCTGATCGAACGTTTACATACCCTGAAATGTTTGGACTTGGTACAGACACACAAGGTGACACACAGGTTATAAAGGCAATTAAAGGTTACTTTTCCACATCTGTATCTTTTTAATTTGCAATTAGTGTCTGTGTATACCGGTAAAAATTCAATACGTTTGTTAGCGCTCACGTGGATGCACTGAGCAGGCTAGATACTGAACCATGGGGATCAGAAAAGAACTGTCAAAAGACCTGCTTAAAGATATTCCAAGTCTTGAATATGCCAGTCAGTACTGTTCAATCACGTATTAAGAAGTGGAAAATTTGGGGATCTCTTGATACCAAAGCCAAGGTCAGGTAGATCCAAGAAAGATTGTGGCAACAACTGCCAGATAAATTGTTCCGGATTCAAAGAAAAACCCACAGGTAACCTCAAAAGAAATACAGGCTGCTCTGGAAAAAAATGGTATGGTTGTCTCAAGGAGCACAATACAACAATACTTGAACAAAAATGAGCTGCATGGTCGAATTACCACAAAGAAGCCTTTACTGCACTGATGCCTTAAAAAATCCTGGTTACAATATGCCTGACAAGACCTTGATACGCCTCACTTTTGATCAGTCATATTTTCAATATCAATGCCAAGATTTCACAATTTCTGCCAGGGTATGCAAATGCAAACTTTTGAGCACAACTGTATGAGCTGGGAAATAGACAAAAGAGTGTGTGTGGGTGGAGTTAATCATGGGCAGTTTCACCATGCAAGACATATCTATAATTCTAAAAGAACTAAGAGTTCACTGGAACTGATGTAAGAATGAGGATGTATGTGTTCTGTTTAGTTATATATTTATATATTTTGTAAGTATACTGATGCTCCAGTAGGCTGAACACTTTTTTCACCTGTTTGGTTGGTTAGGTTAACGGAAGTTTCACTGACACACATATGATGCTTGATCTGAGCATATATCATGATTGGAAACAGTACAATATGAGGGGACATCTTTACATTTACACACATCCCTCAGCTCCTAGCGATATGAACACTTCTACTCAACTGTTTAGACAAGTAGAAGGTAAGCAAACGGAAAATGTTATGCTTAACTGTTCTGTGCAAGCACAATTTAGATAAACTCATTGGAAACACATCTACGTGCTGACGAGTGCCAAAAATGTGTTTGATGACCTTATTTCATTTCATTTTTCCATTCTAGGAAAAGCCTGAGAAATGCACCATGGTAGTGGAGCAAAATGTACTCTATTATTACACTTTTATCTATGTTCCGCTAATGAATACTACTACTCAATGATTTCAAAGTGGACTCCATGAAATATTACTATGATGAAAAGCTCCTGGCAGAAAGTTATTCTACATTAACAAATAGAAAGGCTTTGAGAAGTTGTATCTGATACTGTGCTGTGAGAACTATGGAAGCTGCCATTTCTGACCTCAGTTTCTGGTTGTCAAGCTGGCATGCTAACACAACAAGTTACTAAACTGGAACAAGCATGCAGATCAGGAACTCTTGCAGTGAAGCTGTTAAATTGATAGCCAGGCAACAAGCATTCCCCTAAGGAGAACACCATTGGCTGTAAGAATCTCAGCTTTATTATAATTCCAGGCTAACAGATAAACATATTACCTGCCAAAAAAGTTGTAACTCTGTTTAGGCAGTCATGTAATTTACTCGCTTCACCTCCTTGCAGAGGTGACACCAGTATTTCTTCTATCTCTTCAACAAATGTAAAAACATGTTCCTTTATAAAGTACATTTGCATTCTCAAGACTGTGACATGAAGCCCATTCTTGGAATTATACTGTATTACCAGAAATTATAAAGCAAATTTCTTTCAAATAAGAAAATGTTAAGATCTCCAGTTTCCCAGAACCAACCAATGTGTGATTCATTATAGATCTGTGTTAATTGCTGCAGCATTACACAGCCGAGTGCAGGCTTTGAGTAGGCTTTTGCCAAATATTCATCCCCTGCTAGCATAGTTCAGTGGCTGCTTAGTGTAATCCATGGGAGTAATATCTATTGTTGGGAAACGTATAAATAGAATGGCAGGCTATAGCGGTTGTAATTTAGTGGACTAGATCAGAAACAGTTACCTTGTTTGACATTTGTGGACTATACAAGAGAACAGGGTTGTACTAGAGATGTGTGCATTCACTATTAAGGACAACCAAATCAAGTTTGCATCCAAGCGGCTCCCTGCAACTAACAGTTGCTGCGAAGGACTTACCAGATCACTCCTGACAAGATAGAATGGCAGTTGGCTAGCACCAAATAGGAAAGCATAGCACATCTTTATTAGATATCAAAAATATTCCTCACATAAAAAAGAATGGCTTTGGCTCAACATCTCAGACTCAAACAATTAGAGTATCAAGAAAACTCTCTATGATTTAAGCACTGACAGAGGTCATGGACTGCATTAATAAACTTTAATTAATGAAAATAACACATATATACATATACCCATTAAAAAAAAATGTTATGGGTCAAAGGTCATGACTATGGATCTAATGAATCCGGTATCATTTATACATTAATGTGAAGTAGAAACTGATGTGAAGTGAGGGACTGCGATGTGTGGGGGACTGAGGACACTGATGTAAGAACAGGATTATGATATATTCACTTGAAGTAGCGCAATTTCAAATCCGCAGGTCAGTGCGATTTCATGTGCAACTTACCTCTGTGTGACTTCATGCACAGATGTTTATGCAAGTTGCAAATGAAATTGCAAAAAATAGAGCAGGAGCCTTTTTTCTAAATTGATGAAGCACCACAAAGTTGGAGTCACACTGACTTGAACGGTTCCAAAGGCACAAATAGGGTGCAACTCATAATGCGATTTGGAACTGTCAAATCGCATGACAAGTCACACCAATGTGAACCAGGGCTTATTGTCAAAGCCTAATTGAACAAGCTCAAGCTAGAAGCTGATTGGGTGCCATGCACAGCTGCACACAGCACCCCAGATTTGTACGCTCCAGTTTTAGTAAACCTCCCCTTCTGTGTGTCACTTGTCCTCACTTGGCTAATAAAATGGTTTTGGCTGTTTGGGAATGTAATAAGTTATAATCCCAAAAATCTATTTATTTACCTTAGGTCAGGAATGGGAAAGAAATTGTATTTTAAACTTCACGCACAATAGTTCCCACACACAATAGATATATGTAACTGGATGGGTTAGTAAGGAGTTTTACAGTCACATTTGGAAATAACCCCAATAGAATGTTATATTTAGAGATGAGCGAATTATTCAAAAATTCGATTCGGCTGATTCGCCGAATTTGCGGAATAAATTTGATTCGATGCGAATTTATTCGCTGCGAATTTAACTTATTAAAAGGGTTTCTAGGCTTCAGAGAGCCTTTGTATTAGTGCAGAACACTGTACCTTTAATTTAAATGCCCTTGGAGTCTGCTGGGGAAGAGAAATAATACTGTCAGTCAGTATGACATGCAGATGAGTGCCGTCGATCTTAGAATCACCGCACACTTCACTCATTTGGGCAGTCACGGGGCACGACGAAGAAGATGAAGAAGAAGATGAAGAAGAAGAAGAAGATGAAGAAGAAGAAGAAGATGAAGAAGAAGAAGAAGATGAAGAAGATGAAGAAGAAGAAGAAGATGAAGAAGAAGAAGAAGATGAAGAAGAAGATGATGCAGAAGATGATGATGAAGATGATGAAGAAGAAGATGATGAAGAAGAAGAAGATGAAGAAGATGAAGAAGAAGAAGATGAAGAAGAAGAAAAAGATGAAGAAGAAGAAGAAGAGGATGAGGAAGAAGAAGAAGAGGATGAGGATGCAGAAGAAGAAGAAGAAGATGAGGATGAAGAAGAAGAAGAAGATGAAGAAGAAGATGATGAAGAAGATGATGATGAAGAAGATGATGAAGAAGAAGATGATGAAGAAGAAGATGAAGAAGAAGAAGATGAGAAGAAGAAGAAGATGAAGAAGAAGAAGAAGAAGAAGATGAAGAAGATGATGAAGAAGAAGAAGATGAAGAAGAAGAAGAAGAAGATGAGGATGAGGAAGAAGAAGAAGAGGATGAGGAAGAAGAAGAAGAAGAAGAAGAAGATGAGGATGAAGAAGAAGAAGAAGAAGATGAGGATGAAGAAGAAGATGAGGATGAAGAAGAAGAAGAAGAAGATGAGGATGAAGAAGAAGAAGATGAGGATGAAGAAGAAGAAGAAGAAGAAAGAAGAAGAAGAAGAAGAAGAGAATGAGGATGAAGAAGAGGATGATGATGAAGAAGAAGAAGAAGAAGAAGAAGAGGAAGAGGATGAGGATGAAGAAGAAGAAGAAGAAGAGGATGAAGAAGAAGAAGAGGATGAGGATGAGGATGAAGAAGAAGAAGAAGAAGTAGGATGAAAATAAGAAGAATTCCAGTACAGCAAAAAGTGTATCTGCAGAGAGCTCCGCTATTTCTGACAGTTCTCTGACAGTTCCTTCACATTTACAGCGGTTGAAACATTGTATCTATTTGTTTCTGAATAAAAACATCTGTATCCTAAATGGAAACAAATAGATACAATGTTTCAACCGCTGTAAATGTGAAGGAACTGTCAGAGAACTGTCAGAAATAGTGGAGCTCTCTGCAGGGACACTTTTTGCCGGCTGTAGAAGGGATGAAAATCGGCCGATCGGGAAAAATTCGATTCGTGCATCCGAAGTTTGCTAATTTTCGGATTCGGTGCGAATCAAATTTTTCCTAATATTCGAAACGAATTCCACTTCGCCAAGTTCGATTCGCTCATCTCTAGTTATATTCACTAGAGTAAGTATAGTTAAATATAGGGTTCTGGGCTAAGGTCCATTGTATTTGTGGACTGATGCTGGAGATTTACTATTAAAATGCTCAGCTGAAGTCTCTTTGTAGTGCAGAACTACCTCATATTATAATTTTAAAAAAAACCAATTTTGGAAATACCTTAAAATACAAACTCTTGTGCCTCCTGGATTGTGCAGTCATATTTAGACACATGGCACAACGTCTATTGCAGAAAAGTGGATAAAACTATGAAAATAGAGGTTTTTAGTACTTTATCTTTTTGACTGCTTATCTACTGTATTTAGGTTGGGCTAACCTGTGCTCACACAATGCACATTAAAGTATTTACATGTATTGAATAAGCAAAAAGAGCACATTAAAACTAGCACCAGTCACTTCTGTATTTATAGGCATTGTTGAGAAATTCATCTTTAAAGCTCACATAGAGGTACATAAATCACAAATCCTCTCCACTTCATTTACCACTAGGGCCCATTCACACTTACTGCGGTGACTTGCATTTTTATCCACTGGATCAACGCAGGAGACTGCTAGGGCCCACAGAAAACATATGTTTCTATGTGCTCCATTCACATTCCAATGCTGGAGTGATGTGTGGTGTAGAGGAATGCAGACATGCTGCATCTTTCCTCCCCGCACTTCGTAGCCTGATCACTGCTAAAAAAAAAAAGTTGACAGTACCAAGGCACTTCTCATTACTGCTCCTACACAGCAGACAACAGCCACATGCTAAAATGGATCAATCTAATAAGTGGCTTCCGGTGAATATACTTTCAAAGCAGCATATTGGTAGCATGCAGGGGGGAATGACAACTCATGGGGCCCCCGGGCAATAGAGGATCATGGGGCCCCTGTGTCCTTGCCCAAACTCAAAAAAGCCTCAAATGATCAGTCCGCCCCTGGTAGCATGTCAGCCTTTTTATGATAACACACAGCAGGCGCTGCAAAGCTGTTATAAACAGACCAAAACCTGACTTTAGAGGCTTTGTTGTGATCTTTGAGGATAAATTACTTCAGAGCAGGGGTGGACTGACAACCCATGGGCTCCCAGGCAATAGGGGATCATGGGGCCCCTGTGTCCTTGCCCACACTCAAAAAAGCCTGTAAAAAAGGTACCAGGGGCATTTCATGGGGCCCCCTACTGACCCCGGGCCCTCGGGCAGTGCCCGAGTGCTCAAATGGTCAGTCCGCCCCTGCTTCAGAGTACAAATAGCTAGAGAGGCCAGTGATGGTTTATTTATAAACTCTTCTAACTATACTTCTTACGCATAGTTACATAGTTGGAATACAGTCACCAGTCCATCCAGTGCATCCTATGTGGGTGTGTGTGTGCTCTTGTCAAAAATGATATCCCATATTACTTATTCTTAAAAAATATGTAAACACTTTTCAAAGCTCATAGTCTGGACACATCTTTAACGGCATCCGCACCACCTTATAGCAGACATACTGCTACAGGGCAGCATGGATGTGCAAAATCACATATATATATATATATACGTGATTTTGCAGTTCCAGGTAGGGAGCGCATGTGCGCCCTATCCAGACCTCCGTTTGAGGCTTTGTCTGTCAATCAGGCACCCGGAAATCTCCGAGGGTTTCCAACTGGGGAGAAACCTGTATGTAAACAATACAGATCTCTCCCCTGTCAGGTCCTGCACACTGATTTGTATGGCTCTGCATAGCAGAGCCATACAAAGCAGTGTGCTTACAATGAAACACACACACAGCCCCCATAGTAAAACGGCACACAGTTAACCCTTTGATCGCCCCACATGTTTCATAGCCTGCCCAGTGCCATTAGTACAGTGTCAGTGTTTTTTTTATTAGCACTGATCACTCTATTGGTGCCACTGGAGATGTCGGTGACACTAAGTCAGTTCCCCCCCGTGGCAGAATGCCCACCGCAGTCCTGCAATAAGTCGCTGATCGCCACCATTACTAGTATTAAGAAAAAAATTTCCAGTATATATACCACCATTTGTAAACGCTATAACTATCACATAAACCAATTAATTTACATGTATTGGGATTTTTTTACTTTTACTTTTTACTGGACATGTTTAATAGCAAAAAGTCAAAAACATTTTTTTTTCAAAATTGTCGGTTATTTTCTTGTTTATAGCACAAAAAATAAAAACGCACAGACGATCAAATACCACCAAAAGAAATTTCTATACATGGGGAAAAAAGTACATAAATTTCATTTGGGTGCAGCGCTGCATGACCGTGCAATTGTCAGTTAAAGTAATTCAGCGCCGTATCGCAAAAAGTGGCCTGGTCAGGAAGGGGGATAAATCCTCTGGAGGGCAAGTGGTTAAAGTGATACTAAAGGGGTTCTTTTTTTTCATAACCAATATGTCATACTTACCTGCTCTGTGCAATGGTTTTGCTCAGAGCAGCCCCGATGCTACTCTTCTCGGGGACCCCGCTGGTGCTCCTGGCTTCTCCTCCCTGAGCTGCTTGCTCTGGGAGCACTCATGCATGCTTGCTCCTGAGCCATCTCTGTGTATCTATAAGGCACACAAAGAGTGGCTCAGCCCCACTCCTCACTGGCTGTGATTGACAGCGGCGGGCGCCAATGACTCCCGCTGTTATGTTTCAGCCAGTGAGGAGGAAGAGAACCAGGAGAGCCGCTGCTCTCATGCACATTGCTGGATCGAGATGGGGCTCAGGTGAGTATTAGGGGGGCTGAGGCGGAAGCTGCACAATTAAGGTTTTTTTTACCTTCATGCATAGATTGCATTAATGTAAAAAACCTTCAGCTTTTAAAATCACTTTAAGTCTGACAAGGCTAATTTCTGTGATGTAACTATGGTGAAAGCTGTGAAAATGTGATGTTCAGTATTGACTGAAGTGTTGAAAAGCATGAAATGTACTTATTTAATAGCAATGATGAGATGTAATCCATGCTAATTAATGAAAATGAGTCCTTCCTATTAATATTATGCAAACGAATTCCATTGCTGCCACTCATTCTCTTTTACTTGTTTATTGTTACAGAACATATTATATTATGTGCATGTAAAATATTACACAATATAAAAACACATTTTAGGCGCACAATCTTTTTTACATACCTTATAGGAATGTTATTACGTGTCCATGTTATTTCTGGCGGCGGATATGAATCAACTGCACATATAAAAGTGGCAACATCTTCCACTAATCCATCAAGTGTCTCCAGAGGAGTAGTGATGAAAGGAGCTAAATTAGAAACACATAACAATCAATTACCACATACTCAAGCAGATATCTAGCAACATCCAGTATCAGTAAAACGCAGAGATATGAATAATTGTCATTCAGATACTCTGTTGATAACCACACTTGCATGAACACCAAACTAGAAGATACTGACCTAATGAGCATAAAAAACAGTACACCAAAGACTTAAATACGTTGGCCACTGTTCACCCTTGAGCAAAAGCGTAGGTAGGCTATGTTAAGTTTTTTCTTTTTTTCTTTCTTTTTCATGCAAAGTGCTATACAGGAGCTTTATTGGCGCAGGATCATGTATTTTTTGCCCCATGGACGTTTTTATGGGAGCACCTGAAAAATTAGCATAACACATGTTCTTGCTAATTTTTTGTGAGCTCCCATTGAAGTATTTGGAGCCCAAAACATCCCATTCTGCTTCAAAAGTAACTCACGTATCTTTTTCATATTCAGGCATTAAGCTACGTGCACCTGAATGCTCAAATATGAACAGGGACTATTTACTAGCTTGTTGAGCAGCTTCGAGCTAAAACACTCAAACACTGAGCCCTGGTTCACACTGATGCGGTGCGGAATTCACAGTGTTTCTGTACCGCATCAGAATCGCACCCTGTTCATGCGAACCGCTGCGGGTGTGTATGTTAAGCTAACAACACCCCGAAAGAGGTCAGCAAAATACAGTGCAGTGTGCAGAATCGGATCGCATAGGTGTGAATACCTATGTGATCCGATTCTAGTGTGGGACCCAAAAAAGGGTCCTGCACCTTGTTGGTGCGGGGGTGTGGTGCGATTAGATCCATATAAAATGTATGGCTCCAATCGCACCGCACACAAATCGCATGTGATTTGCACAGGAATGCAGTGCGGTTCCTTTGCAAATCACATATGATATACCGCACCACATATTTATTTATTTATTATTTATTTCAGGTACTTATATAGCGCCGTCAATTTACGCAGCGCTCTACATATATATTATACATTCACATCAGTCCCTAACCCTCAAGGGGTGTACAATCTAAGGTCCCTAACTCACATTCATACATACACATACTAGGGACAATTTAGACAGGATCCAATTTACCTACCAGCATGTCTTTGGAGTGTGGAAGGAAACCGGAATACCCAGAGGAAACCCACACATATGTGTGAACCCAGGCTAAATGTGAGGTTAAAGCAATAGCAGTGCCTTATATTACATATAATAATAACTGAAGATGCAATGCAGTCACTCAAGTCCTTAGCAGTCTTGAAGAGCAGGGTTATGAGACTTTATTTTCACTACAGATTGTGCAGCTGACAACAATAAATAAAGTGAACCTGTGTAACCCTTTGAATATCAAATCAAGGAAATAAAAGAAAAATATTTTATCTATTATATGATTGCGTGAACATTCACTATGCTTTGTAAAACAACCTATTTTTTTTGGTAAATAACTCCATAATTTCCTTGGAGTCCACAAAGTTCCCCATTTACATCTGAATCCATAGAGTTCCCCTTTACATCTAAATCTGACAGAATAGAATTACCTTTTATCTGATGGACATAAAGAATATTGAGCCACATGAGTGTGGAACAAAACTATATATAAACCACTTCATGACCAAACTGTTTCCCCTTCTTCCTGCCAGGCCATATTAAAGTTTTCAGTGCTGTCACACTTTGAATGAGAGTTATGCAACACTTCATAGATAGATAGAACAGTGGCAGTGATCAGGAACCCTGTTTCTGGCTGTATTGGTCTGACAGTTAGAATTGTGTAGCAGAGATCAGGAACACTGTTGATGGCTTACACCGGTCTGGTGACCGATTTGTGTAGCAGAGATCAGGAACACTGTTGCTGGCTTACACCGATCTGGTGACAGATTTGTGTAGCAGAGATCAGGAAACACTGTTGCTGGCTTACACCGATCTGGTGACAGATTTGTGTCAGAGATCAGAAACACTGTTGGCTTGTCTGGTGACAGAATTGTGTAGCAGAGATCAGGAACACTGTTGCTGGCTTACACCGGTCTGGTGACAGAATTGTGTAGCAGAGATCAGGAACACTATTGCTGGCTTACACCGGTCTGGTGACAGAATTGTGTAGCAGAGATCAGGAACTGTCAGGGAATGGGAAGATCGCCGCTGCGATCGAATCTGCACATGCGTAGAATCCTGACAAAACGTACAGGCAGGCAGGCACTAGGACCCAGGCGTGCCTGTCACAAATGACGGGCTAGGCAAGCACTAGGACCCAGGAGTGCCTGTCAGGAGTCGGGTGGACTATTTAAACCCGGCTCTTGCAATGCTCAAGTACCGTATGGTCTTATCTGTGTTCCTGAGTTCCTGTGAGTAGATTGTTTGTTGCCGAACCTGCCTGACCCTGATTTGCTGTCCGTCTCCTGCTCTGATCCCTGGCTTTGTCTGACCATTCTCCTGCTTAACCCTGTACGTTCTGACCTCCTGCTAACGAACCCGGCTTGTGACCTGTTTATCCCTCTGCCTGCTGATTTTGTACTACGCCGCCACCACTGTTACCGACCCGGCTTGCCTGACGCTGCTCCTGTTACCTCCTCACATCAGACTCTCACCTGCTATACACCTCCAACGGTGCTTCTACCACAGCTGGGTGAACCCAGGGGCCGCGACCTGGTCTCGGCCTGCTCCAAGTCCATCCCCACCATCAGGGGCCCTGGTGAACAAGCAGGTCGGAGCTTAGATTCCGCGCCTTGGGGGAATCCAGTCTGTGGAGTGCTAGAGGCTACCGCAGTGGGGTCCCTGACAGAACCATACGGCCATGTCAGAGTCTGGAGGAGGACCTTCACCCTGGGAAGAGATGTGCCAACATCTGGCGGCACTCACACAGGCAGTGAAGACCCTGGAAGAGGGATACAAGCACCTGGAGGGACAGGTCCAGAGCCTGGCCGCACCAACACCCACAACTCCAGGCCCAGTGGGTGCGCCTCTGACCATGGGTGCAGCGGGGTCTGCAGTTGGAGCAGCATTTACCATCCCCCCGCCAGAGCCAAGAGTGCCGACCCCTGAGCGGTTCAGTGGGGACCGAGGGAAGTTCAGGGCCTTCCAAAATTCCTGCCAGCTGTACTTTGACCTGCAACCCCGGACCTTCTCTTCTGAATCGGTGAAGGTAGGATTTGTCATATCCTTGCTGCAGGGGGAGCCCCAGGGATGGGCTCATCGCCTGATGGAGCCCCCACCACCCACATTTAAATACTGTCACCACATTCTTTAAGGCGATGGCACAACTGTACGATGACCCGCATCGAGCCGCCTCGGCCGAAGCAGCTCTCTATTCATTACAACAGGGACGCCGGGCAGCGGAGGACTATGCCGCTGAGTTGAGGCAATGGAGTGGAGACACACAGTGGAATGATGCAGCTTTACGCCACCAGTTCTGGTTGGGACTGTCAGAACCATTGAAGGACGAGTTAGCGAGAACAGAAATTCCAGACTCCTTGGAAGGTTTAATCGATCGGGCCATACAGATCGATCGCCGACTGCGGGAAAGGAGACAGGAGAGGTCCAGCCAGGGGCAGAGAACTTCATGGATGATGCCCAGAGTACCAGTCATGCCAAGGGTCAGTGTCAGCAGTCGGAGCTCCGAACCGTCCGAGGGGGCCGAGCCTATGCAACTCGGCCTGATGCGGCCTACTCTTTCTACTGAGGAACGACAGAGGCGTCGAGCCAATAACCTGTGTCTTTACTGCGGAGCAGCGGGTCATATGGTGCGTTCCTGTCCGAAGAAAGACTGTAAGTTCTCTTCTATTCCTTTTAATATATCTGCTGTATGTGAAGGCAACCCCACTCACTTGGCTGTACCTGTGTCCTTTCAGCTTCCCGGAGGAAGCACACAGGTGATGGCTATCATTGATTCTGGGGCCTGTAGTTGCTTTGTCGATCTCGGTTTCGCTACCCAGCACCAAATACCGTTGCTCGCCAAAGAACACAGGGTGAATATTTTTCTGGCGGATGGGTCTCGGATAAAATCGGGGACGGTAGACCGGGAAACCCCTCCTATACATACCACAGTGGCGGGTTATCACCAGGAGTTTCTCCGCTTGGACGCCATTGCGTCCCCCCTATTTCCAGTTATTCTGGGGGCCCTTGGCTACGAGCTCACGACCCCCAAATTGACTGGAAGACCGGGTCAATCCAGTTCCACTCACGATACTGTCAGGAACATTGCCTACCTAGGGCATCACTAGATACCCCGGCCTTATTAACTGTAAGCTCCGAGGCCAAGTTAACTCAGATGGTACCTGCAGCTTACCACAAATTCCTAGACGTGTTTAGTCCACGGGGGGCAGAGGTTCTTCCCCCACATCGGGCCTATGATTGCCCCATCGATCTGCTCCCGGGCTCCGAGATTCCTTTTGGCCGCATTTTTCCCTTATCTGAGCGGGAACTAGGGGCTTTAAGAGAATATATTGATGAGAGCCTCCGGAAGGGATTTATCCGCCCTTCCACATCCCCGGCCGGGGCAGGGATTTTCTTTGTTGAAAAGAAGGACGGATCCCTAAGACCGTGTGTTGATTACAGAGACCTCAATAAGATTACTGTCAAAAAAAAACCGCTACCCCCTTCCTTTGGTCCCAGAATTATTTCAGAGATTAAGGACGGCATCCATCTTCTCCAAGTTGGACCTCAGGGGTGCCTATAACTTGGTTCGGATACGTGAGGGAGACGAGTGGAAAACAGCGTTTCGCACTCGGTTCGGACATTTTGAATGTCTTGTCATGCCTTTTGGGCTATGTAATGCACCGGCCACCTTCCAGCACTTTGTCAATGACATTTTCAGGGACTTTCTGGATATCTTTGTCATTGTCTATTTGGACGATATCCTGATATTTTCCTCTTCCCTGGAAGCACATCGGGGACATGTTAAGAGTGTGCTGGAACATCTCCGTCAGCATGGCCTTTATGCGAAAGCCGAGAAATGCTGCTTTGAACAGGAAAGCATTTCATTTCTTGGTTTAATAATCTCCACT